CCCAGCCGACAATGGCTTCAACCCCGTCTGGCTCTTCAAGCAGTTTGTCTTTGACATCAACAACCCTGAGTTCGCCTTCCTCCGCTTTGTGGTATACGAGGAGGACATGTTCAGCGACCCCAACTTCTTGGCACAAGCCACCTTCCCCGTCAAAGGCCTCAAAACGGGTATGGTCCTTCCATCCGTACCACCATCACTGTCATCATCATCAAATCATAGAATGGTTTGAGTTGGAAGGGCTTTTTAAAGGTCATCTAGTCCAACCCCTCTGCGATCATCATCATCTCCTGGGGATCTGGCCGTGGCGACGGGATCAGACCCTGCCATGGGGCTGAGCTCACGTCATGGTGTTGTGTCCAGGCTACCGGTCGGTGCCGTTGAAGAACAGCTACACCGAGGACCTGGAGCTCGCCGCCCTCCTCATCCACATCGAGATCATTAACGCCAAGGCAGGTGGCCCAGGCAGCTTGGGGAATCCCCTGCCTCAGTTTCCCCAGCCAGAACAAGGGGGAACAGCACCCTGAGGTGTCCTGCCCACCCCAACCAGCCTCATACCTTTGTGTCAGAGCAGGAGGAAGACGAGGAGAACCTCTACTCCTCCATCCAGCAGCTACGGGACCGCGCCAGCGAGCTCTCCAGCCAAGTCTCCAGCTACGAGCGCGCCAACGGCTGCGACTCCCGCTACCAGCAGCGCCTCGACGAGCTACGGGCAGCCCAGGAGCGGCTCATGGAGCTCACCGAAGTCCGCAACCGCAAGTGAGTGGCCCCTCCCTGTGGCTTCGGGACATCCCTTTTGAGAGGGTCCCTAAGGCCACCACCCTGCTCCCCCACCAGGTTGATGGAGAAGAAGAAGAGGGACCGGCAAATGGTCACCAAACGCAGCTGAGCTGGATGGACACGAGCCCGCCAGCCCGTTGTGGACCTCCCGCCGCCACCTCTTCTCCTGCTGCAAAGGGAGGTGGGGTGGCCGGATCCGGACCCCACACACACACCCAGGGCTGGGTGACAGCGGCGTGACAAATCTGGGGACAAACGGGGACTTCGGGTAGCTCTGCTTGTGATGTTTCTCTGCTGGGGCGAGGCAGGAGGCAGAACGCTCTAGCGTAAATCCTGAGCGCCTCTGGCTTCGTCCTATGTCCCCCAGGGCTTGTGGCCATGTCCCTTGTCCCTGTGGGGTGGCCACCACAGCTCCTCTTCACCCTGCATCCTCCATGTCCCACCACCCCATGGCGGCGGCGAGGGAGTGGTGATGAGCCCTGTGACCAGTGGGGAAACTGAGGCACGGGGGCTCAGCCAGCCCAGGATGGGGCAGGACCAGCCACCTCCATCCTGGAGACAGCACCGGCTGGCAGCGAGACACCAGGATGGGGACACAGGGGACACTTGGGGGGGAGGGTTAGGGGGGCATTTTGTCCCCCCACGCTATAAATATCTGTATTTTCTTCTTTTATCCAGCGTGTACATATGGCACGGGGTGGGGGGGGGGGGGGGTTGTCTGTACCAGCCTCAGTATTAGGGCACGGGGGGGACCCCAAAATATCCAGAGATGCCCCCAGCATGGACACGAGGGAGCGAAGGACCAGGTCTGGGGGTGCCCCACGGGGTAGGGTGGTCGATGACAGGGTGCCCCGAGCGGGCATCAGCAGACACAGGCACCGAGGTGGCCCCAGAGGGGACAGGGATGTCCCCGAGGTGATGCCAGCAATGGCACTAAACCCTGGAAACGGGGACGGATACCACTGGTAAAACCAATGGAGGTAGTGCCTGGCGGGGTGGTGGCTGGGGACATCTCAGGGTGTCCCCCAGGGTTGGGGCGTCCCAGTGGGGGGGGAATCTGTGTATTCTTTGTATGAAAATAAATCTATTTAGCCAATATTTATACCCTGCTGCTGTGGTCTGGTCCCCCTCCCTCAGCTCTGCCCCACAGCACCGATGTCCCTGGGGTGGGTGATGTCCCCAAGGTGGCAGCTCGGTGATTCCAGATCCAGTGTGTCACGCTTGTCTTCATGACGTGTCCCAGCGGTGGTGGGGGGGGACACCCGTGTGGTGTGTGTGGGCAGGGATACCCCGGGGAGGGGACACGGGACATGGGACGCAGGGCACAGGGCCATGGGGACACACAGCTGGGGGGAGGCAGGGCCATGGGGACATGGGACGCAGCACCATGGGGACACAGGGCACAAGGACACGGGGAGACACAGCTCTGGGGATGCAGGGTCACTGGGGTCTGGGGGCACAGGGCCATGGGGACATGGGGCACAGGGCCATGGGGACACAGGGCACAAGGACACGGGGCACAGGGCCATGGGGACACAGAGCCATGGGGACACAGGGACATGGGACCACAGGGCACAGGGCCATGGGGACACAGGGCCATGGGGACACAGGGCCATGGGGATACAAGGCACAGGGCCATGGGGCCACAGGGCCATGGGGCCACAGGGCACAGGGCCATGGGGACACAGGGCCATGGGGACACAGGGCCATAGGGCCATGGGGCACAGGGCCATGGGGACACAGGGCCATGGGGACACAAGGCACAGGGCCATGGGGACACAGGGCACAGGGCCATGGGGCACAGGGCCATGGGGACACAGGGCCATGGGGACATGGGGACACAGGGCCATGGGGACACAGGGCACAGGGCCATGGGGACACAGGGCCATAGGGCCATGGGGCCACAGGGCACAGGGCCATGGGGACACAGGGCCATGGGGCACAGGGTCATAGGGCCATGGGGCCACAGGGCACAGGGCCATGGGGACACAGGGCCATGGGGCACAGGGCCATGGGGACATGGGGACACAGGGCACAGGGCCATGGGGACATGGGGACACAGGGCCATGGGGACACAGGGCACAGGGCCATGGGGACACAGGGCACAGGGCCATGGGGCACAGGGCCATGGGGACACAGGGCACAGGGCCATGGGGACACAGGGCCATGGGGACACAGGGCACAGGGCCATGGGGCACAGGGCCATGGGGACACAGGGCCATGGGGACACAGGACACAGGGCCATGGGGCACAGGGCCATGGGGCACAGGGCCATGGGGACACGGCGCACAGGGGGACGCAGGCCCAGGGGGACCCCGCGGGACTCTCCGTCCCCTCCCCTCGGATCCAGCAGGGGGCGGGGCGCTGCGGCGCCGAGACCCGCCCCCCCCGGCGGCCCGCCAACCGCCCTCTCCCTTTCATTGGCTACCTGCCTCGCCTTCCCCTCTCCCCATTGGATGGCAAGCCGCCGGCGGCGGGGCGGACCGGAAGCGCCGGTGCCGCTCTGGGCCGCGCTCGCCCGGCGGGTCTATGGTGGCGTCCCCGCTGAGGCGGAAGAGCGGGGCTGCGGCGGCGGCGGCGGGAGATCGGTGAGAGCTGAGGCGGGAGGGGGGGGGAGCCGTGCCGGGACCCCCCCCGGGTCTTCCTCCCCTCCCCACCCATCGCCCCACAGCCGTGGGACCCTCTCAGCACCGTGTGTCCCTCCCCCCCCCTTCCCCGCTACCTCAGGGGCGGACCCCTGGAGAGCCTTCCTCCAGCTTAGCGTCCATTTACCGCTTTAAAGCCGCTTTAATTTTCATTATCCGTCGCTTTCCAGGTTCCTCTCAGCGTAACCCATCAGGGTTCAGCGCCGCTTAAAACACCGCAAGCTGAAATACCGCACATTGGCCCGAATGGGATTTTATTTCTGTTAACCCGGGAGGGAATTGTGCATATTCTGTTGTTAAGAAGTTGGTTTATTTTTGGGTTTTGATGAGGAAAAGGGCTTGTCTTTGGGGTTTGGTGGGGAAAAGGGCTTGTCTTTGGGGTTTGGTGGGGAAAAGGGCTTGGGTTTTGGTGAGGAGAAGGGCTTGGGTTTTGGTGAGGAAAAGGGCTTGGGTTTTGGTGGGGAGAAGGGCTTGGGTTTTGGTGAGGAGAAGGGCTTGGGTTTTGGTGAGGAGAAGGGCTTGGGTTTTGGTGAGGAGAAGGGCTTGGGTTTTGGTGAGGAGAAGGGCTTGGGTTTTGGTGAGGAGAAGGGCTTGGGTTTTGGTGAGGAGAAGGGCTTGGGTTTTGGTGAGGAGAAGGGCTTGGGTTTTGGTGAGGAGAAGGGCTTGGGTTTGGTGAGGAAAATGGCTTATTCTGCTTTTCCTCTCGTGGCAGCATTTAAAGAACCGTTGGGCTTATTATATTCCTCGTGGAGAGAGGACTTTAAAAAAATAAGTAAAATAAACCCAAGGTCCTGACGATGGAGGATTAAACAGTAGGGTTTGAGACACAGAATGTTATTCTTTAATTCTGTCCTTTAAATATCACAGAATTTCCAGCCTTTGCCTTGCCGGCAGTTACAAAATGTCAGCAGTGAGTTATGTGGATGAGAAATAAGGGAACTGCTGCGCGCCACGGGATTTCTTCCCCTTCCACTGCCTCCCCATTTGGTTATGGCAAAGCAGGGGGTCTTTCCCTGGCACGGGCTGCTCCCGTGTTCCCCCCCGTTGTGCCCCGTCGCTTCGAGACGGTCACCCCAGAGGGAATGGCTCTGGGTTCCCTCGGCAAAAAGAGGGGAGAGCGTGAGCGTGGTGGTCAGGCCCGTGGGTAACGCGGGTCTGGCTCTGCGATTGGAATCAGCTGCACTCAGCAGACCCGGGTGGGTGCTGCTTGAGGAGACCCGTGGTTTTCGGGGGGGTTTATTCCGTTCTGAGACCAGACCTTCAGCCGCAGCAACCGAGCGTTGCCCAACAGCGGTGCGGCAGCATTTGGGTCAGGTCTCCGAGCCATCTTCCCACCCTCTAGGATTAAAAAATAAGAGTGAAAGGGAAACGGCTCTTGTAGGAAGCTGCCACAATGAACCCAAACGCAAGGAAAGCTCCAGGATCTGATCAAGCATTGAGTAATTTTTAATTATTTATTTCAACACAAGCAGTGATTTATCTTTTCCTAATACTTTTAAAAATGAGCTCTCTTGATATTAATCTCCAGGGAAGTCCCCAGTAACGCCGCTCTCCTCCTTGCTGAGCTCTGTGCAGCCTTTCTGTTCAAGCTCAGCCTACGTTTTCCTCCCAACCCACCCGTTTATTGTTTTTGTGAGCGTGCTTCCTGCCGCAATGCCCTGAGTGTGTTTCTACTTCCCTTAATTGCATCTGCTCAATTCCTCCTCTTTCCACTTTAAACTTCTAAGAAACTTCTACCAGGTAGCCCATAGTGGAGACATCTTTTTCTTCCTTCATTTCCTCCGTGGCCTTGAAACATCTCTTTATCTTCTCTATATTGGCCTGGTTGGGCTAACCAGTTCTGTCCACCTGCAGGAAGAAGTTTCTATATTCACCCCTTTTTTCTATTGTAACAAAAAGTCTGGGTCCTTGCTGCGCGTGGCATCGTCAAAAGGGAGATGGGGAGAGGTAAAATGCGTGAGAATTTAACTAGGATTTAAGTGCAAAAATGTACTTCTGATTACAGATACTTGAATTTCTTTTGAGATGTCTGTTTTGAAAGGTGGTGATCTTTACTGCCTCAGTATAGTAATGCGGTAGGTGCTGTGCTTTGCGTATGTTTTGAATATTAATGTGCTTTAACACAACATCGAAGAGCTCTGGTCACAGACCAGAACTCCCTTTTTAGGGAATTTTTAAAAGGCAGAATTTAGCCTTCTCCCCACTCCTGCAAGTAAGTATGTAAAGAAAGCAGGAGGTGGAATTTAATGAGGCTGTTCTGGCTGTACAGCAGTGTAGAGAACAGGACAAACGAGATGCTGCTCTGTGCGACTTCTTGCTGGGAGGGTTCAGTAGAGAAAAGAGAGCTGTTTTCTTCCCATGGGTGCACAGTGGGAGGACAGGAGGCAACGGGGCCAAGCAGGAACGTGGGAAACCTTGGTTAGATCGAATTTTTTCATTTTTTTCACCATAAGGGTGATCAAACACCGGACCGAGGGACCAGGGAGGCTGTGGGATCTCTGGCGTTGGAGACGCTCAAAACTCAAGTGGGTGAGGCTTTGAGCAACCCACTTAGAACGCGGGGTTGGGCTTGAGACCTCTTCCAACCTGAATCCTTCTGAGATCCTGCGATAACATGCATGTATCTTCACCGGTGTGACTCCTCTCGTTTCTCACGACCCAGGGGAATGACAATGACCAGCCCCCTGCCTTCAGCAGGGAATGGGAACTGCTATTACATCCTGACGGAAGACTGTGCCTATGGCAGCAAATACTTCCAAGCTGGGAACATGTGCTTCTGCAGCGAGAGGAGTTACCTGCGCAACTTCTCCGACGACAGGCCCCCGGCTTGCTTCTTGAAAGTCGTCATGCTGGATGACAGCTCCATCGTCACGATAAACGTTGAAATCCTTCAGCCGGTGCGCGAGGAGGTGGCCGTCTTCCTCCTGGCCATCAGCAGCCACAACGAACGTTTGGATTACTTCTTGGAGAGGCTGAGCCTCGAAGCAGCTCTGCGGGCCGTGCCAGGCCAAAAAGTGATGGTGGAGGTTGACCGGCAATATTTCCCTGGTATCATCCGCTACATCGGGAGCATTTACAAAAACACTTCGGCTGCGCTGTCTCCGTTCTTCTTCGGGGTGGAGTTACAGGTAAAGTGGCCAAGAAAGTAAGTTGCTTGTTTTCCCTTGATGTTTGTGTATGTAACGTGCCTTTCTGGCATGTTTTCAGGGTGAGGGGGAAAACAGAGGGCGCAGCGATGGATCTTATCACGGCACTGAGTATTTCAAGTGTAAGCGGAACTGCGGGATCTTCCTGCCGTTTCACAGAGTCCAATTTACTCCCACGTCGGACGACGACTATATGAAACAGAAGCCAAAACTGGACACAGAGGAGGTGGTTCCCGTGAAAGTGGGAGATGCAGTTAGCTTCTACGTGGACGAGGTCCTCACAAAAGGAATAGCGATGGCAGTTTACAGGGAGGGAACCCAATGGTTCGTTAAAGTTTGTCCGGTAAGAGCGGTCTTGCTGCCTTTTCTTGGTTTTGGGGGATTTTTTTTTTTTTTTTTTTTAAATTATGTTATGGTGGGACGTTAAAGAGAAGTGAAAGGAAAGTCCAAAAGGCATGTGAGGTTACGTGCAAACTTTCCAGGCCTGTTTGAAAAATTGGTTCGTATTCCAGGAATGCTCAATGGCTGATAAAGCATTTAGCTGATGGATTTTTCTCTCCTTTCAGGAAGAGGAAGGAACAACTGACATTTTTAGAGAAATCCCTATGGACTCTGTTGTGAAGGAAAGCTTGCAAAGTAGGTTATCATCAGATGTGTCTGCCTTGTGTACGTTCCTGGGGATTTAGCATTTATTTCTTCTCTGCAGGCTACTGATGAGCTGAAAGCTCAACAGCAGCTTTAGCTAGTCCCAGCTTAGTTGATCGGAAGGCAGAGAAGGTCCATGGAAAAGTCTCAAGTTCTGGACAAAATTCTTTGCATTAGGCAACTAAAGCTGAGCCTACCCTTTTATCAGGAAGAAGAAGAAAGGGAAAGATTGCATTGCAGAAGGATTTCCTAGGGGAGAACGCACCACAGGTTGAAGAGTCTTTAATTTAGCTGTAGAAGATGGAGCAGGAGCCTCATCCTGCTGCCAGACAAACTCCAAAAGGCACGGATGCCAGCAGCAATGGTGTGAGTCATTGGACAAGACCAGAAATTAGCGGAATCTCTCCGTTGCCATCAAAAGACACTGTGCAGCTGTCAGGGCCAGCCCGAGGGGAGCTGTCATTGGGCTCTTCACTGAGTTGTTTCATCTCACTAAAGGCAGAAAAATTGGAAATAAGCCCCCTACTGCTGTTTCATTAGTCTGAAATGCCTCTGTGAAAGGCTGGATTAGCTCCAAGGCCAGCGAGAGGCTGGAGTGTTCAGCCTTGAGCAAGGAAACAAGGAGCAGGATCATCCCCTCTCAGCCTGTTAGACCAGCTTGGCCATATCACTGGGAATTACACCTTGTGTCACTGGTGCTCAGCTTGTCTGTGTGGTCTATAATTTCAAAATAGACCTGGTATTAGATGAGATCTAGAGGTGTCTGTCATTAGTGTTGACTTCCTACCTCCCCTGACATTTTGTATTGCCCACCAGGTGTATTTTCACCGTTCGAGTCTGACATGGGCTTGGGACACCCAAACCAAATGAAACGAGAGATAAGCGAGAGCGGTGAGGAGTGTGAAAGCGGGAATTCATCCCTGGAGGTGAACTCCGTGGTCCAGATCACCTTGGACAAGGGAAATCAGGTTTCGGGAATCATCCGCTGGTTGGGCTACCTGCCCCAAATTAAGCACAAAATGGCAGGAGTTGAACTGGTAAGGAGTAAAATGTTTCCTGCTGCGAGATTGTATATCAGAATGGGCAGGTCTTGTTTGCTTTTCTCTTTTTAAGACCTTCAGCTTGTGGCTGCATATCTCCCAGCCTGACCTGGGCCTCTGACATGTCAGAATGTGAACTGGGAGGGCAAGCAAGCCGTTGTGCCCTCCTTTAGACCGGGGAGGAGAGCTTGTGGAATGATGATGAGGGTTGGTTTACTCTCTCCTAGAGCAATGTTATTAGAACGTGGGATGGAATAATCATGAATCATACAAGCAGCATCAATGGGTTCAAAACATAACCAGAATAAATTAATCCAGTCAACAAAAGGGGACCAAACTCACACATGGCTCTTTAAGATATTAAATGGCTGTATGGGGGATCACACCTCGTTTGTGGAAAGACTGCTCCCGTGTTTTTCCCCGCCGGCTCTCGTGTTTTTCCCCGCCGGCTCCCGTGTTCTCCCTCAATGCTCTTTTCCCAGGATGAAGATAAAGGGGTCACTGCTGGCGAATGGCTGGGCAGATACTACTTCCACTGCGCGCCAAAACGCGGCCTCTTCGTGAAGCTGCAGTCCTGCCAGCCTGACGTTCGCTTCCAGTGTTCGCGCAACAGTGACCTGAGCCTCGTGGGTTATAGTAAGTTGTCTGGGACGAGGGGAGACAGGGCTGTGCTGGGACAAGGCGCGCTACGGAGGCGCCTCGTGCCTCTTAATCAGCAGTTTAATATTCATTGCTGTCTTTGAGTGTTCCAAAAGATGTCAGTTTTAAGGATGCTGAGGTTGCCGTGACCTGTTTATAGTGTGAGAGTTGGTAAGTAATTTATTACAGGGGTGACGTAGGTTTAGGGCATCAAATATAGGGCAACATATTGTGAGTGGCTCTAAAAATTGAGGCCTCAGTGGCATGGATGTGTTGGAGAAGGGGGAGCTGGCAGGAAATGTTGGGGGGATAACAGAGGGTAGAAGTCCAGAGCGACAGTCTTTGCGTTGTGAACGCTGCAAGCAAGACAGGACTCTTCTGCCTGTGGTTTTCAGGGCAGAAGAAAATGTCTTCTATAATTGAGATGTGGCTATGGACTAGTGTTTTAACTATAAGGCCTGGCCTAGCTTCTGTGTGTTAAATGTAGACCATGCGCGTGTGGCTCTGGAGGACTGGAGTGGGTAGCTCAGGCCCATGGCCAAGATGTCAGATGATAACGGTGTTCCACCTGGGGACTGAGAAATTACAAGGGAGCTTGGAAATTAAATCCATTTTAAATTAGAGCGTGATGTGGCGATAAGACATTCACAAGAAGAATCAGGGAAGAACAGGTCAGTATTTTCATTTGAGGAGGAAAAAATTCCTCCAGAGCAGAGAAGACAGTGTAAACCAGCCCTTTAGAAACTGTAAATGAGATGACTGTAAATGAGAAGACAGGATTCCTGTAGGGGCTGCCCAAAAACCAGGAGTAGGTAGAAGGAGGAATGTCTTAAGGGCATGCTGAAGAGAGGGGATTGAATTAAAAGGGGACAAGGCTGAAGAAACCAGGGAGGATGGGACTGAGAAAGCCACCTCTGAAGCTTAAGGAGATGACAGGTCAGCAGGATGAAACTATTCAAGCACCGTTGCCTGTTGTGTGGCCCCAGTAGGAAGGGTGCCATCTTTCAACAGAGCGATCCCAAGCTTGCATATAACCCAGCACTAGCTCGTTTTGTCTTCGTTATACTTGGCAGAACAATGGCAGAGGCAGTCTGGATTGCTAGGGCATGCCTCTGGTGAAGAAGAGGTGGTTTGGTTTTGTCTTCATTTTCAGTAGATGAATTACTAAAGAGACAAATCTTCATCCCAGCAGGAGCAGCGCCGAAGAGCGTGGTGCTGAATTCTGAGCAGAGCCAGACCCCTGGGGCATCAGGGAAGGGCAGAGCTGACCCAGACGAGGTGGGAAGCTAAAGGGAGTTGCTTCTGTTTCTTCTTTTGCAGGAGGGCAAGACGTTCTTCCACAGGCTCCAGACAGTTTTCCTCCCCTCAGGAACGAGGCAGCGGTGCGTGTCCTGCGAGGGCGGATGAAGGGCATCCAAGGCCACTGTAATTCCTGCTATATGGATGCAGCTCTCTTCAGGTAAGGACCTGCTTGAGTGGGGTGCTGTTTCATTAAACGAGTGCTTTTTTTGTTTTAATTGGACAGAGCCCTAAATTGCAGCACTTCCCTGGACTTCCGAGGTGGCTGGAAATCTACCTGGTACAGAGCAGAATATAACTGTGGAGATGCAGCCTTGATGTTTGCTGCTTTTTTTTTACCTCCTTCCCAATCTTGGTAGGTTCTCAGGCCCTGAAATACCCCTCATGAGTACCTAAGGTACCCGTGTGTCTCTCGTGCAGGGCGGTGAGAGATCGTAGTTCTCTGGACATGGACCATGCTGACTCTGTCACTAGAGGTAATGGCTGGAAACATTTCAAAGAAACCACCCAGGAGATCCCAGCTTCACTGTGCAGCACTGTTTGAGGAGGAAAAGACTCAGTGGTGCCCCCCCATGAGCAGTTTTGGCTGCAAAGTATGAGATTTGATTCTCTCCAAGCTGTTGCCTTGCGTACATTAAACCAGATGTGGTTCATCTCACTGAGGAGATGCGCTGCCACTCACCTTTCTGTAATTGCATGCATGGACTGTTGAAAATAAAAGCCACCGACTGTCACCAGGCACAACGATTTGGTTCTATTGCTGCAAACCCATCGGACTTACTTCTCTCACATTTTTTTTTCCACAGCCTCTTCTCCTGTACGTCCGTGCTGGACTCCATGCTCTTCAAGCCCTTCCCACTGTGTGACAGGAACGTCCAGAGCATTCTGCGGGATGAGATTGTTAGTCCCCTCCGAAAGTGAGTATAGTGTGTGGGAATCTTGGAAGTCATCTATCTGCCTTCATCCCTTCTCTGCTGCCCTGCCAGATGGTACCTAACACTGAGAGGAAGGGTTCCCTGGAGGGTTTCTCCTGCCAGCCACACCCAAAAGTCTTCATATCAGGTTTCTCTTCAGTTTTTCCCTTCCCTGGTCTGCGAGGCTGCCGTGACTCTGACTGCATGTGCACGAGCCTCTCCTGCTCAGAAGGAAGCCTTGTTGAGCTGTAGTTCTCAGTAAAAGGATAAAAGAGAGATTCCTGGGGTTGAGACCACCTCTGTGGAGGAACCCTGGAGCTGATGAAGCGATGGCATTGTCTTCATCAGCAGTTAGTCCCAAAGGCAGTATGCAGTGCCGGGGTGGACGAGGGTAGACCATGGCCTGAGAGCTAAATTCTCTGCGATTTTGTCGAAGATATCAGGTTCTTCCCTCATCCTCCCTAGAGGGGTGTGGAAGAGAAGTGTGGAGAGCTGATTGTAGATAAGACTAGCATCTCCCTTGAGCAGTGTCTTGGCACTGGCTGCAGAAACCCAACCCTGGGGTGTTGTGTGATGCTGAGATTTGATTGAGCGCAGCCCTGCAGAGGATGAAAAATTGGATGGGAACTGACAATGTGCGCTTGCAGCCAGAAAGCCAACCATCTCCTGGGCTGCCCCCCAAGCAGCGTGGCCAGCGGGTCAAGGGAGGGGATTCTCCCCCTCTGCTCCACTCTGGGGAGCACCGCGTCCAGCTCAGGGGTCTCCAGCACCAGAAAGACACTCACTTGTTGGAGTGAGTCCAGGAAAGGGCCACAAAAGAGAGGGCTGGAGCAGCTCTGCTGTGAAGAAAAGCTTGGGAGGGTTGGGGTGGTTCAGCCTGGAGAAGAGGAGGCTCCAGGGAGACCTTCTTGTGGCCTTCCAATACTTGAAGGGGGCTTATAAAAAAGACAAGGAGAGAATTTTTACCAGGGCCTGTAGCGACAGGATAAGGGGCAAGGGTTTTAAATTGAAAGGTTAGATTTAGGTTGGACACAAAGAAGGAAATTGTTAAGATAAAGGTGGTGAGGCGCTGGCCCAGGGTGCCCGGAGAAGCTGTGGCTGCCCCCTCCCTGGCAGGGTTCAAGGCCAGGTTGAGTGAGACTTTGAGCACCCATGTCTAGTTGAAGATGTCTCTGCCCATGGCAGGGGAGGGGGTTGGACCAGATGATCTTTAAAAGTCGCTTCCATCCCAAACCGTTGAAGGATTCTGTGATTTAAATACAGTGGAGGGATAATCTGCAGCTGCTTCTTGTTCCTAGGACTGGCTTCGTCAGGGCTAGGAGCGTGATGCACCTGAGGGAGCAGCTCACTGAAAAGGGCCAGTGTTCAAGCTTTACCAACGCTGAGAAAGGTAATGTGCTCTCTGGGGCCTTCCCCGGGCTGCTTTGCTGTGCGCCGCCTCATCCAGGCACCAGGCTGACAACTTAATTGTACGCTTCTCCCAGGCACGTTCATTAATACGCCTGCTGTGCTGTTCATTTATGTAAAAATGCACACGTAAAATACTTTGGGCTTTTCAAACTCTACGGGCTTTTCAGCTGAAATTTTTCCTGAAGTCTGATGGAAAGATGGGAGTCGCTGGGGCTTTACCTGGTGGCAGCTGTTGCCAGGAGGGGAGAGGAAGATCTCTGTGAGCAGAATTTCAACAAGGGAAATTTCCTTGAGTTATACCCTGATAAACCCATCCCTGATGTCCCCGCTAGAATCCAGTTTGACTTATCCTTTTGCCAAGATCAACTTGTCTTTGAGCTCTGATAAGTTATTTCAGGTTCCTCGAAGACTGTAGTCTGCTTAAAATAAGACAGAAAACGCCTACAGCTGAAACCCACCCAATCTCTGGTTGTGACCACCACGTTCCCATCCACGCACAGCAAAGCCCCGTGTAGTTTACAACAAGGAAACAGATTACGCCAGTGCCAAACATCACTGCAACAACCTCTGGGTACCTGGGTAGTAAACAAGTGACATTGATTCTTCCAGAAACAGCAGGTGTCTGCTCAGTGAACAGCACTTGTGTTTCGAACTAGTGTGTATTTATTTTAGCCAGGGATAGTTTAACTGTTCGGTTTCTTGAATTTCCCCAGCTGTCCCTGATTGCACTTTGAGTTTATGCTGTTGGTGTTAGCAGTAGCTGTCCGTGAGGGACTCTGAGATAGAGTTGCTGTGATGGCCCTGCTCGTGAGAGTGCGGTACCTGAAGGCTGGTTTGCTTTTTTCATGCTCACCCTAGGATTTATGCATTAACCAAGTGCTCTCAGCTTTCAGTCCGATCCTCCCCATACCTAGAGCAAAAGAGGAAATTCCCAGGTCGTGAAATGCTGGCTCATGTTTATCTGGCAGCTTTTGCTTTCTGGATGCAGCGGGGCACGGCAGCGTTCCTGGTGTGGTGTGACCCGTGCTTTTCTTTCACCTTCCAGATCCTGAGGAGTTCCTCAATCTCATAATGCATCAGATCCTGGGAATAGAGCCACTCTTGAAACTGCAGTAAGTTTCCATCTCTAAGCGATACAGTTTACCCAAGCCAGGCTCATTAGTGATCCACCTCATGGTCACCGGGTGTTAACTTGCACCTTTTTATCGAGGCTTTGGAGCCACAGCTCAGGGCACAAGTCCCCTCTGCTGTCCCTGTGATCTTGTCCCCGGTGACGCAGCCAGGAAAAGACATTTCTAAACTCTCCCTGGAGGTGCCACCTTCAGAAAATGATGATACAAACCTTGGTCTCCTCCTTTGGGAGAGCCAGCAGCGGTTTGAGAAACGTAGTGTCCGACCTCAGTGCGGAGGCAGCAGTATCTGACAGCCTGTGGATGCGTTTGGGATGCGTCCAAGCTGTCCAGCTGGCTCAGGTCCTGCAGCCTCTCGAACAGGGAGTCCATGGATGCAGTCCCAGTTTTTTAGGACTCTACAAAGAAGATGAGAGGTTGAAGGAAGCCAAAAATAACTGTGCTGTTCGGGAGCATAGAAGGGGATTGTTCGGTTTCTGTGCTCCTTTGTTGAGACGTCAGTCAAACCGTAGATGGTGGAGTACTCGGAAAGGCTGAGCACAAAGATGACTCTGTACTGCAGCTCCCCTGCAGAGGGTCATCTGAAGGAAATCCTTTCTCTGCTGGCTCAGGGGTGTAGGGGTTGTGGGAGATCTTCTGCACACAGCTCACCTTTTGAATGCACCGAGTTTTGCTCTGTGGCTTTTGTATGTGCGGTTATAAATAGACCTTTCATCTGAGGAGGAGTTTGCTGGTTGTGCCGTAGCGCAGTTGATTTGAAAAACATTGTGTCTTTGAATACTGACATCGACGAGGGGAAATTGGGTTTGGCTTATAGGAGCAGGATGTGAGGCTGCGGAGGGATAAATGGGAGCGAAGATGGTATATTTCCAGCCTCTTCTTGTGGCACGTATTTGGTATTTCTGGTCGGAAAAAGGGCTTCTGTATTGCACCAAGCAGCCCTTGGTGCCTTGGGCCCGGAAGCTCTTGCAGGACAAAACCTCCGTGTCCTCTGGGAGCTCGGACATTTGTGGCACCCCGTAAACCAGCCCCGTGACCACTCCTTGCAGGTCAGGAGGCCAGAAGGAGCAGGACTGTTACTGTTACCAGATATTTATGGACAAACAGGAGGATCTGGTGGTTCCTGACGTGCAGCAGTTAGTGGAACATTCCTTCCTGTCCTCTGATCTCAAGCTAGTGGAGGTGAGCCCAGCTACCTTCCGCCTACGCTGCTATCTGCTGCCTCTTCCTTGCTTCCTCCAACGTAGCCGTGCCTGCCAGTGGGTCTAGTGTGTCTTAAATCCAACACCGCAAAGAAGCAGGATACAGCCACAGGAGAGAGGTCCCAGGGAATCTGAGCATGACCTGGGAAGCGGGCTGTGCTTTCCCTGTTGCTGTTTTGTCTTGTGAATAACCGCAGGAAGTCTTTATTCCCAGCAGTGATACGGAGGGAAGATTCTCCTAGGGCTTGTCTCTTCTGGCAGGGTGACTTGTTTGCCTTTCTTTTCCCAGATCCCATCTTGCTTCATTATCCAAATGCCGCGATTTGGGAAGGAATATAAAATGTTCAGCAAAATCATTCCTTCCTTGGAGCTGGATATAACAGATCTGCTGCTTGACAGTAAGTTGTTGGGCAAGGGTAAAGCTGCCGGCTGGGACTGCGAGCAACCAGGTGACAAATCTCGCCTCTTTGGGTTGTGAACAGGTGTGAGGTGGGTGCATGGTGTGATTCTTCTTCCCCGAACGCCGCTTTTGGCAGGGCGAGTTGGATTTCAGGTGAGACCTGGAGGAGACCCATCCTCTCGCCCCTGTTGCCCCTGCAGGTCCCAGGGAGTGCTGCGTGTGCGGCGACGTCGCCACCCTGGAGTGTTCAGAGTGTTTCAAAGACAAAGTATTCGCGGCTACGGGCCTGAAGCAGTTCTGCAGCTCCTGTTCCAGACAGGTATTAATTTATTTTATTTTTTTTGGTGGTGGGTAGGGGACGGGGACTGCTCACGAAATCTGCCTTGGTGGCTGACAGCAGATTGAACCCCCCCCCCCCAGAGGCCCCGTGTTTCCCCTGCTGTCCCTGCAGCCCTTCCCTGAGCACCAGTCCCTCCACCCAGCAGCAGCCACGTAAGAGCAGGGTTAGTTGCTGCCACGTTGAACCCTCTGCTCACAGCGAGCCTAAATAAGGACCGATCCTGCACAGACTGCGCTGCGCCCTCCACGCTGTTTCACCTACAGCTTTCTGGCCTTCCGTGCAGCGCGGGAGGCTTCTGTCTCAGCTTCTTGCTGCCAGCCCGTTGACACGCCACTCCTTGGCTTGCAGGGACCATGGGAGTCTGATCGGTGGGGAATAATCTGGGGGGGGGGGGGGGGGGGGGGGGGTCTGACCCCCCTGCCTGCTCCTCTTTCTGGCAGGCCGGGTTCAGTTCTGCCCGCTCATCTCTCCTCAGGTTCACTCCCACTACCGACGCAAAACGCACAAGCTGGCAAGGCTGCACGTCCCGGAAGAGTTTCAGAGCCGGAACCCTTGGGGCAACCAGCAGGTCCCTCGGGAGAAGATGGAGCTCTTTGCAGTGCTCTGCATCGAGACCAGTCATTACGTCTCCTTTGTGAAATACGGCCCCGAGAATGAACACTGGATGTTCTTCGACAGCATGGCTGACAGGCATGGTGAGGACCCTTCTGTCCTTCCCTGTTTTCTTGTTGGCCTCCAGATCTCTCAGCTAAGGCGCTACGCTACTGTCGAGTATGACGGTATCTGCTTAAGCTGTAGGTATTTGGGACCTGGTTTGGATTTTTCTCCTTCTTTCTTTCTGGGTTTAGGTGATGAAAACGGCTTCAACATTCCCACGGTAACGCTGTGCCCTGAAGTTGCCAAATACCTGGACTTGCCGCTGGCGGTGCTGGCCCTGGAGCAACCTCGGGACATGGACGGAGTGGCCAAGCGCCTCTTCTGCGACGCCTACATGTACATGTACCAGAGCAAGAAGATGGCCCTTTACAAATGACACAACCTTGGGCTGGAGCTGCAGAGCAGCGAGGCGGCGGAAACGTGAGCTTGGATCAACCCTGCAGCTCGTCATCGGTGAAAGCAGCCGGCTCCGGGTGCGCTGAGCTTGCACTTCTGCTTCTTCTTACCTCTTCCAGCATCTGGTGTCAAGCTATCCATGCCAGCCTGTCTGGATTTGTTAAATCCTGTACTTGGCCTTATCAAGGGATAGTTTGTACTTCCAGTGGACCTGGACTCTGAATTATTTACACTCAAATTCATTCTCGTTTCCTACCTTCCTCTTCCACCCTCCTTCCTCCCCAGGCACTCTGCAGCTCTGCCCTACCTCAGAGTCCTCCGCAACAGCCTTTTTCCCCCGCCAGCCCTCCCTCTCAAAGCTGAGGGCCAGCATCTCATCAAAACACGAGCAGTTATCCTCAGGTTTGCAAAGAGCACAAGAAAACCACGGCCTTGCCATGCGCAAGACATCCTCACGGGGACTTGCGGCGTGAGAAAACCAGGAGCTGCGCCGGTGTGGTTAAGAGATGGGTCAGGAGGAGGATTTTTCTCGAGGTCTGGGATGTGACCCCACACCTAAAGCTCAGTCCCTGAATTGTCTGCGCTTCCCTTATCCAGCACTAATACTCTGGCACTTTTTTACCCACCACCCCTTATTTTCAACCGTGAGATTAACTGGATGTCTTGAGCTGCAAGTACGCTTTAAAAATACATGGGCTCGTAAGAACAAAACTGGAGGAAAGACGGAGCAGAGAAACGGCACGTGAGCTCATTATGCATCCTCTTTTTTGCAAAGTCTGCACTATTCCTACGTGATCGGGTGTTTTAACCTCACTTTTAGCACGCGCTGTCCCATCTTTGCATCCACTTCTGAGATCTGTGCCAAAGACCAATAATAGAATTCCAAAGGCAAATATGGAAAAAATGAGCACTCGGATTTTCTGCCATGACTGCAGTAAGCTTTAAGGTCTCTGGGTATTAGGTATTCCTTCAGTTAAATAACTTAAATTTGCAAACTGGGGGGTTCTCTACCATTAAGCACATGCTGCCGCGGCAGTGGGAAGCTGTTACAGGAGTCGGTGCTATGAACGGGGTTACCCAGACTCCAGATTTCCCTGACAGGACATCAAAACCTTGAGGGACGTAGCCAGGAGCCCCAGATGTACAGCTATAATCTCCTTCCTGCCCTTTTTTCTTTTTTTTTTTTTTCCCCTGCTGGGTACAGTAATTGTAATACGCAGCCTGTGGCTTTGTGTCGGTCCTGGAGGCTTGGGCCACGTGCTACCTGTGATTTAGGACATTTTTTTTTGTTTGTTTTTGCTGACAGCAGGGTTGTGATGCCACCTGGGACCTCGACAGCTTGATGCCTGTCTCGGCTTCCTGGCGTGTCCCTTCTTTCTGTATGTGGTGGCTAACAAAGGAGGGCTGGTGTGTAATGAACCCAGATCGTTAACGCGGAGTTAATGTTTTGAGAGCGCTGCTGCCCAATTCAGCTTCCAAATGTCCTTGCTGAGGATTTGGGCCTTGACACTCAAGTTGACGGCGAGGCAGCGACGTGTCCTCATGGTAGAGAAGGCAAACAGTAGCCCGGGCTGCATTCAAAGGCTTGCCAGCAGGTCAAAGGAGGGGATCCTCCCCCTCTGCTCAGCGCTGAGAAGGCCACACCTGAAGTACTGGGTCCAGTTTTGAGCTCCCCAGTACAAGATTGATGAAGAGAGTCCCGCAGAGATGATGAAGGGCCTGGAGCAGCCCTCCTGTGAGGAAAGGCTGAGAGACCTGGGGACTGTTCAGCCTGGAGATGAGAAGGCTCGGGAGGATCTCATCAAGGTTTATAAATCCCTGAAGGGAGGGTGCAAAGAAGACGGAGAGGATCTTCTCCACGGTGCCCAGTGCCAGGACCCAGAGGCCCTGAGCACAAACTGGAACACAGGAGATTCCCTCTGAACACTTTCTCACCGCGCGGGTGACAAGCCCTGGCACAGGTTGCCAAAGAGGTGGTGGAGTTTCCCTCCCTGAAGAACCTCAGAATGATCCTGGGCAAATTCAAAGGAAGGGTCCGTCTAGGAGAAGGAGGGATGGTGGCAGATGCAGCGACGCCTCGTCCCGACGATGGGTTTACCCTGCTCCCACGTGGGATCCAACCTCCTGACCTCTGGCTGGTCTGTCTTCTCAAAGTTCTCTTCCTTCCTTCTCTCCTAGGAACTCAGGACAATCTACTCAGGTACGCTGGGAGCTGGGCTCTTGTATCTCTGGTGTTTCTGCTCTAAAAATCAAAAGTTTTAATAGCAAACCGTTCCTTTTCCCAGAGTTTTTTCCTCTCTTAAAATGCCAAGTGTGAGACAGCACCCACAGCTGAAGCGTTGCAACGGGGAGCTCCAGCTTGCTGGGTTTTTCAGAAACAAGAGACCATCAGGCCATGCTTCATTAAGCTCTTTTAATTACTTTTCCCAGCCCCCACCACCACCACCAATGTGTTGTAAAGGGCTAAACCTTGATCTTAAACCAGGGCTGTTCCTGGGAGGGTGTGCAATGCAACCGCAGGGTCGGTGTGTGGGTGCAACTCACAGGGGATTTTCTTGCCCTCCCCCACTGCACCTTTCCAAGGGGTGGCTCGATTTTTGCATCTGTACGTTTTACAACCTCAGGGGAAAGGATTTCCTATCTCCCTGCTACAGATTTGGGCAAGATTAGAGAAAATAGGCATGTCGTGGAGAAAATTTTTTTTTTTCTTTCCTATTCCATGCAACTTCTCTTGTTTTGATAAAGCTTTCAAACAGTCATTGTCTGAGGCATGCGACCTACCCCCCCGTGGAGGTTTTCGCTGGAATTAGGGTCCCCGCTGGTGCCACCCCCAGATGCCCTCATGGGTCAGCAGTTGCTTTTTCATTCCAACTTATTCAGTCATAAAGCACGAAGTGAAAGACGTTGAATTCAACGGTCAAGCTGAAGGCGAGAAGTGTTTTGAAGGACCAGGGCAGCCACGCAGTGTGGCCACAGTGGGTAAAGGCTTTTATTTCTGTTTTTGTGTTTTTTTGTTTTGTTTTTTTTTTTTTTTTTCTTTTTTTGCTTAGAATGAAGCTAATTGCAGGGATTAGTGCCACGCTTCCTCTATGAGCATTGGGTTAAGAGAGTTCAGGTGTCAACCTGGAGCTGGTCTCCACGCCCCAGGGAATGTGAATAAAAGGGAGAGAGGTGAAATGCAGCCACAGAGCCTGAACGAGGAAGGGCAAAGTGCATCTGCCACCCGTGTCCCACCAGACATGGGTTGGGGGGGGGACAAGTTGGTCCTTCCCCTGCTAGGACCCCTTCTCCTGCACTCAAGACTTGGTCTCTAGTGCCACCGAGGAGCTTCAAGCGTGGGCTGCCACCACAGAAAGGGCAGGGCTGGCAGGGCCACCGAGGCGGGCAGGGAAGGACGGGGGCTTCCAGAGAACATGGGGAGGGGGGTGGACGGGGGGGAGCTGCCTCCCAGCTCCGCCCGCCCTGTCCCGGTGCGCCCAGCTTTGCCGCTGGGACCCCAGGGAGCTCTCCTGGTTTCTGCCAAGTCCTTGGAGCAGCAGGGTTAGAACCAGTTGATTCCCAATTAGCCACTTGGTCTTCAAAAGAGCGTGGAGGAGCAGGGGGCCGGGGGGGCGGTGAGGGGCGGCCTCCCCCCCCCCTCACTGGCTGGCTTGTTGCAGCTCGGTGAGGAGGCAGTGCAGCCTCTCCGTCACGGCCACCTGGCACGGGAGAGGGGACAGTGAGCGGTGTGGTCCCCGAGGTGGGGACTCCAGCCTTGTTACCTCTGCCCGGTGGCTTTGCGTAGGCCACGGGGACCGGGCAGGGTCCCTGGGGGGGGGGGGGGGGGGGCCGTACCGGGTAGGCTTGTGGCTCGTGGAGCCGGCGGTGAGCGGGGTTGAGCCGGTTGAGGGACACTTGGGCGTGGGTCCTCACCTCGGGCAGGCTGGGCAGCGGCTCGCACACCTGGCAGGGATGGAAGAAGCTGGACAGGGGTGTCAAGGCTGGCACCTGAGTTGTTCCCTGCCCCAACGCCTCGGGCAGGAGGGCAACACGCTGGGGTTTAACCCTTTGATGCTGACGTTACTGCCAAGACACCACCACCCTGGCTCGGTCTTTCACCCAACGGGGGGGAGGCTGCCCCTGACCTGGCCATCTCTGAAGTACGTGCGGTGAAGGGGCTCCACGGCGGCGGGCACGACCTTAGTGGTCTCAGCAAGCCGCCCCAGGACGCGGATCGCCAGCTCCTGCCCAGCGCTGGGCGAGGGTTCCTCCTCCAGGGCCATGAGGTCCATGAAGGGGTGACCTGCAGGGGTGCCGGGTTAGGGGCCAGCGCCTGCGTGGGACGGCGGGGAGGCTGTCACAGAGCAGGGGCAGCACCGTGGGAAGGGTCTCCCAACTCACCAGCAGCGTCATAGAGCCGATAGATCGTCTTAGACCCTGGGATTGTCATCTTCTCCTCGTCTTCTGTGAGCTTCAGGCACGGGGAGCCATTGACCTCCACCAGCTGCAGGAGAAGAAGGTGAAGGGGACGGGCACCTTAATTTTGTCCCGCGCACCAGCTCATCCTGAAGACCACACCGAGCTGTGTCCCCTCTGTGTGCGTCTGGGGAGGCCACTGATGCCAACCAGCTGAAGAAATCCAAAAAAAAAAAAAAAACCCTCTCAAACCACCCGAAGTTGGACATCCCGCCTCCTCCTGCCTGCAAGCTTCTCGTTATTGTGGTCTCATGAAGATTATTTCCAAGCAGGACAGAGATGGGGGGGGACTGAGTGCACCCTCGGCAGATTTGCAGGTGCCACTAAGTGAGTGGGACGGTTGATTCCCTCGAGGGACGGGGTGCCAGGCAGAGGGACTTTGGTAGGCTGGAGGAGTGGGCCCAGGTGGACCTCCTGAAGTTCAACAAGGCCAAGTGCAAGGTCCTGCACCTGGGTTGGGGCAACCCCCCAGCACCAGCACAGACTGGGGGATGAAGTGGATGGAGAGCAGCCCAGTGGAGAAGGACCTGGGGGTGTTGGTGGATGAAAAACTGAGCATGAACTCCTGCAGCTCAGAAAGCCGACCGTCTCCTGGGCTGCACCCCGAGCAGCGTGGCCGGCGGGTCCGGGGGGGGGGATTCTCCCCCTCTGCTCCGCTCTGGGGAGCCCCCCCGGAGCCCTGCAGCCAGCTCGGGGGTCCCCAGCACGGGCCAGACACGGACCTGTTGGAGCGGGGCCAGAGGAGGGACACGGAAATGGTCCGAGGGCTGGAGCAGCTCTGCTGTGGAGAAAGGCTGAGAGAGCTGGGGGGGTTCAGCCTGGGGAAGGGAAGGCTCCGGGGGGCCCTTCGAGAGGCCTCCCGGGGCTTGAAGGGGGGACAGGAAAGGTGGGGAGAGACTTTGTAAAACGTCCTGTAGTGACAGGACAAGGGGCAAAGGTTCTAAACTGAAAGAAGTTAGGTTTAGATTGGACATAAGAAGAAATTCTTAATGATGAGGGTGGTGAGACACTGGCCCAGGGTGCCCAGAGCAGCTGTGGCTGCCCCCTCCCTGGGAGGGTTCAAGGCCAGGTTGGACGGGGCTGGGAGTGCCCTGGGCTGGGGGAAGGATGATCTTTAAGGTCCCTCCCAGCCCAAACCAGTCGGTGATTTGATGATCCTGGCCTCACAGCACGGCCCCTTAGGGCCAGCTCCCCAAGCCGGGCAGAGACCCACCGCCCCCCCCCTCCCCGCCTCCTCTACCTTGTAAACGCAGCCCAGCGACGGCTGCAGGGGACACGTCACCAGGTTGGTCCCCACGCCAATCACGTCGATCTCGCTCCCCTGGTGCAGCGGAGAAGACAGGGCCCATCAACAGCCCAGCCCTGCCACTGGTTTTTCAAGCCCGTATTGAAACCACGGGGCAGGTCCGAGGATGCTCTACCAGAAGGCGCCTGGTGGTTGCTGGCTGTCCATCCAGCCCCCCCCCCCCCCCCCCCCCCCAAAAAGCTGTTTCTTTTTCTTCTCTGTTTTCACCCGAGGAGAAAGTCCCAGGTGATTCTCGTCTCCACCCGGCGCGTCCCAACCCACAGTGGCACCAAGGTGACCTTCTCCACCCTGACCACCTCACCTCCCGGCTGAACTCCTCCAGGCTCCGTTCGCTGATGTCGTTGCTGACGGCGATGGGGATGGTCTCAAACCAGGGCACCTGGAAGCTGGCGGGGGAGGGAGCCCGGGAAGGAAAAGAGCGCGGAGTTTGGGGCGGTGGGGGGGGAACGACACCCACCCTTCTGCTCACAGCCCCCGCCACCCCCCACCCTGGCAAAGACGAGGAGCCCAAAAACGAAGAAGCCGGCGGCCCGGCGCCGGGTCACCCCGGGCTTGGCGAGGGACTCACTGAGCGCCGCAGGCTCGGAGGACTCGACGGGTTTCTTTGGATTGTTGGACCAGGTCCCCGCTGTCCAGGCGTACCCCGATGGCCCGGTACCCCAACTGGTGCAGGGCCAACGCCACGGCACAGAAGTTGGGCAAGCCGCTCCTGGCACGGGGGCGAGGAGAAGAGGTTAGTGTCCCTTCCCTGGCGGGACAGGGACGCAGCAGCGGTTCCGAGCCCCGGGGCACGGCGGGCGGCCACATCCCTGCTTTGGAGGCCACCGAGAAAGGTGGGACGGGTCTGTCCCCTTTGCCACGGTTGGAGGGTGACGGCGAGGAGGGAACCTGTTCTCACCTCCTGACGCAGTACGTGTCCAGCAGCCCCTGGAAGTCGTGGGGGAAGGTGATGGCGTAAGCCACGAAGGCGGCCAGCTCGCCCCGGTTCGCTTTCTCCGGGGGGGTCTGCAGCAGCTCACACACCCGCTGCAGCCACGACTCGGCCAGGGTTGGGAGATCCACTGGCTCTCCTCCTGCCAGCGGCACCAGCTCCTGCGCAAGGAAAGCGGGGAGGAACGGGACACACGACACAAGCTTTGGCCACCCTGTTGCCACCCCCCCCACCCCACCCCGCGGCGTTGCGAGGGGCCGAGAGCATCTCAGGCCCCGACACCATCCCACGGCGCCGCTCACCCGGGGCTGCACCTCCTCCAGCGCGGTGAAGGCCATGATGAAGGAGTGGGCGACGGTGCCGCGCACCGGGATGCCGTAGAGCTTCCCCGCCAGGACGTTGCTGGTGCAATCGAAGCCTGCGTGGGGGGGGGGAACAAGGTAGAGGGGTGGGGAACGACAGGGTCGGCGACGGCGCGGCCGCCGGGCAGCACTCACCCCCGATGTAGGAGTACTTGGAGGCTGAAAGGGCACCGTCCGGCCCCTGAGCGCGCCGCAGCCCGATTTCCATCAGCTTCACCTCCGGGCCGGCAAGGAATCGGAAGCGGGCGGCGTTGGTGGCCACCAGGCTGCGGGGAGGAAGGACAGGTCACCCTTTCTCTCCCAGCCAGGCTGAGCACGGAGCCAGGGCGCAGCTGGCGAGCCGCTTCGCTGCGCGGGGACGCGGCGGGGACAGGCGCGGTCCCCGGCAGCCGAGGGGCCGGAGCAGGACGCGTCCCTTACCTGGCGTAGTTAACCAGGCACAGCAAGGCCGTTTCCAGCAGCTGCACCACCAGCAGCGGCCCCTTCACCTGCAGGAACGGGACCTGCTGGGGACAAGCGGGCGGTGACATCCCCGGGGAGCCGGCAGCCCCTCCGAAATTCGGGGTGAGGGTAAGGAGCGTTTATGGGTGCGTGTCTGTGTGTGTGTCTGTGTGTGTGTCCCCCCACCCTGGCGAAGACGACGGAGCCCTCGGGCGCGGCGCAGACGGTGATTTCCGAAGCGTCCAAGGTGGCCAAGTAATCGAAGAAGGCGTCTTCCGTGGTGCTGGGCAGGACGGAGCGCAGGTAGGCGACGTCTGCGGGGGGGGGGGGGACAGGGCTCGGTGGGCGCTGGGGACAGGGTGACAGTTTGCGGGGGGGGGGGGGACACGGAACGGACAGGACACACCCCCACCTCACAGCACACACACCCCCCCCGAGAGATTTAAGGTGAGGTAGAGGGGTACTCGAGCCCAGGGGCCCCCCCAAGTCCCCTCTGGGGGACTGCGTGGGAGCACTGTCCTCCTGGAGGGTGTCCCAATGTCCCCCCGGGGGCTGAGCCCTCTCCCCCGTGTCCCCGTTAAGTCCCTCTGAGAGAGATGTCCCTGTCCCCCTGAGGGGCTCCCCTGTCATCCCCCCCCCCCCAGCTCTCATTAGTGGGTAACCCCTGTCTCCCAGGTCCCTCTCAGAGGTGTCCCTGTCCCCTGAAGTCCCCCTGTCCCCCCTGAGGGCTGGCTCTGTCCCCCCCCCCCAGCTCCCACTGGGGGTAACCCCTGTCCCCTGAAGTCACCCTGTCCCCTGTGAGGGCTGGCTCTGTGTGTGTGTGTGTCCCCAGCTCCCACTGGGGGTAACCCCTGTCCCCCAGGGCCCTCTGAGAGATGTCCCTGTCCCCTCAAGTCCCCCTGAAGTCCCCCTGTCCCCCCTGAGGGCTGGCTCTGTCCCCCCCCCCCCCAGCTCCCACTGGGGGTAACCCCTGTCCCCTGAAGTCCCCCCGTCCCCTTCGAGGGCTGGCTCTGTGTGTGTGTGTGTCCCCAGCTCCCACTGGGGGTAACCCCTGTCCCCCAGGGCCCTCTGAGAGATGTCCCTGTCCCCTCAAGTCCCCCTGAAGTCCCCCTGTCCCCGCTGAGGGCTGGCTCCGTTTCCCACCCCAGCTCCCACTGGGGGTAACCCCTGTCCCCCAGGTCCCTCTCCGACATGTCCCTGTCCCCTTAAGTCCCCCTGAAGTCCCCCTGTCCCCCCTGAGGGCTGGCTCCGTTTCCCCCCCCCAGCTCCCACTGGGGGTAACCCCTGTCCCCCAGGTCCCTCTGAGAGATGTCCCTGTCCCCTGAAGTCCCCCTGTCCCCCCTGAGGGCTGGCTCCGTTTCCCCCCCCCAGCTCCCACTGGGGGTAACCCCTGTCCCCCAGGTCCCTCTGAGAGATGTCCCTGTCCCCTGAAGTCCCCCTGTCCCCCCTGAGGGCTGGCTCTGTTTCCCCCCCCAGCTCCCACTGGGGGTAACCCCTGTCCCCTGAAGTCCCCCCATCCCCTGTGAGGGCTGGCTCTGTGTGTGTGTGTGTCCCCAGCTCCCACTGGGGGTAACCCCTGTCCCCCAGGTCCCTCTGAGAGATGTCCCTGTCCCCCTGAAGTCCCCCTTTCCCGCCTGAGGGCTGGTTCTGTCCCCCCCCGCCCCAGCTCCCACTGGGGGTAACCCCTGTCCCCCAGGTCCCTCTCCGACATGTCCCTGTCCCCTTAAGTCCCCCTGAAGTCCCCCTGTCCCCCCTGAGGGCTGGCTCTGTCCCCCCCCCCCAGCTCCCACTGGGGGTAACCCCTGTCCCCTGAAGTCACCCCATCCCCTGCGAGGGCTGGCTCTGTGTGTGTGTGTGTCCCCAGCTCCCACTGGGGGTAACCCCTGTCCCCCAGGTCCCTCTGAGAGATGTCCCTGTCCCCTCAAGTCCCCCTGAAGTCCCCCTGTCCCCCCTGAGGGCTGGCTCCGTCCCCCCCCCCCCAGCTCCCACTGGGGGTAACCCCTGTCCCCCAGGTCCCTCTCAGAGATGTCCCTGTCCCCCTGAAGTCCCTCTTTCCCGCCTGAGGGCTGGTTCTGTCCCCCCCCGCCCCAGCTCCCACTGGGGGTAACCCCTGTCCCCCAGGTCCCTCTCCAACATGTCCCTGTCCCCTCAAGTCCCCCCTGAGGGCTGGCTCCGTTTCCCGCCCCAGCTCCCACTGGGGGTAACCCCCTGTCCCCCCCGCGGGTGTCCCCCGTCCGTGTGTGTGTGTGTCCCCCCCCCCTCACCGGCGGCGGAGAAGCGGAAGGCGCGGAGGCAGCGCAGCCCCTCGGCCAGGCCGGCGCCCAGCGCGAAGGCCCCGCGGAAGGGCCCGCGGCGGAAGAAGAGCTCGGCGGCGGCGGGGAGGCGGTGGCGGCCGGCCCGCCAGTGCCCGTAGGCCATGGAGAGCTGGTAGAGATCGGAGAGCAGCGCCATGGCCCCGCGCGGGGCAGGCTGGGAGCGGCGGGGGCGGGGCCGCGGCGGGGGCGGGGCCGGGGCGGGGCGGGGCCGGGGCGGGGCGGACACGGGGGACACGGGGGCACGCGGGATGGCAGCACAGAAGGGACACGGGACACACGGGGCACATGGCACCAGGGACACAGAGGGGACACGGGGCACAGAGGGGACACGGGGCACATGGCACCAGGGACACAGAGGGGACAGGGATGGCAGCACATAGGGGACACGGGGCACATGGCACCAGGGACACAGAGGGGACACGGGGCACATAGGGGACACGGGGCACATGGCACCAGGGACACAGGGGGGACAGGGATGGCAGCACACAGGGGACACGGGGCACAGAGGGGACACGGGGCACATGGCACCAGGGACACAGAGGGGACAGGGATGGCAGCACACAGGGGACACGGGGCACAGAGGGGACACGGGGCACAGAGGGGACACGGGGCACATGGCACCAGGGACACAGAGAGGACACGGGGCACATGGCACCAGGGACACAGAGGGGACAGGGATGGCAGCACACAGGGGACACGGGGCACATGGCACCAGGGACACAGAGGGGACAGGGATGGCAGCACACAGGGGACACGGGGCACATGGCATCAGGGACACAGGGGGGACAGGGATGGCAGCACATAGGGGACACGGGGCACATGGCACCAGGGACACAGGGGGGACAGGGATGGCAGCACACAGGGGACACGGGGCACATGGCACCAGGGACACAGGGGGGACAGGGATGGCAGCACATAGGGGACACGGGGCACATGGCACCAGGGACACAGAGGGGACAGGGATGGCAGCACACAGGGGACACGGGGCACACAGGGGGTGGCAGCACACACGGCCCCAGCACACCAGGGACTCTGGGGACAGCAGCACACGGGACAGATGGCACAGAGGGAAGGGCAGCACGGGGCAGGACCGCAAAGGGACACGGGGGGTGGCAGCACCTGGGACCCGGCTGTGCCACGCACCAGGCACGACAAAAACCCTGGCCACACCACCACGGGGACAACGTGCACGGGTGACACCAGGGGACCTGCAAGTCACGCCCAGGACACTGGGCCCAGGTGGGAAAACGGGCACCGGAGTCATCGTCACGGAGGGGTTGGGCACAGCACAACCCCCCCCATCTGCTCGGGGTTGGCGCTGCGGGACTGGAGCCCTGCACCTTGGACTCTGGCAGGGTGACAAGAACGTGTGTCCCCAGGGTCAGAAATGTCACCTCCCTCTTCCCACAGGCCACGGCTCCTCACAAACCGCAGGAGCAGCTCGAGCGAGCCGGGTTGGGGGGGCAGGGGAAGAAAAAAAGAAAAAAAAAAAGAAAAAAAAAAGAGGAAATTCAGCTGTCTACCGGCAATTCCTGATGTTTCCTGGTGATCCCACGCGGGTTTTGGGGTTTTTTGGAGGCTGAGCGGGGTCTCCACCTTGGGAAAGGTGAGGGCAAACGCCCTTAGCAGAGGCCGCGTGGACAGGATGCCACTCAGACCTGCGTTCCGACCCAAAAATGTAGGTAACCCCCCCCTCTCCCCCCCCACAAAGGCCTTTAATGAAGGCAACGAGGAACGAAAATATCCCCAAGTCTCACAACGAACCACTTGGGAGCAGCTGCACTTGGCAGAGAAAAACCAGCATCCAATCTGCACTCCCAATCTGGCTCTTTATTGGTCAGGGGTTCAGAGGGGGATACAGTTTTGCTTCTAGATCTTGTTGAAAGCAGCGATGTCGACGCTCTGCACCTGGAACGGAAAGAAAAGCAGCGGCTAGAGGCTTTTTCAGACATTTTAAGCAGCGCTCACGTCGGGGATTTCCTCGCAGCGGTGCACTGGCGGTGCTCAGACAAGATGAAGCGTGGCCCGGGTCTCGGGCCAGCTGAGCTCAGAGAACCTTTAAGGACTATTATTGAATATTCTTTGCAGCATCAGTCACAACAGGACACCGCACTGTGCACATCACCGCACAAATCTCCAGCCTAACAAAGATCATCCTATCACGAGTTTCTGGCAACGTTAAGATTAAAATTCCTGGTGTTCCTGCTACGGTTTCCACGGGAGGAGGAAGGATGGAGACACCTCCTCCAGCTCCGGCCGCCGAGGTGAAATATTTGTGTGTCTACCCTGGTGCTGCACAGACTCAGTGTTAAAGAAGGGGTTCCCCAAAATAAAGGTTGGTGGGGGCTGGATGAGCATTTGTAAAATGGCTCTTACAAAGGATCTGCAAGACAGCTGCATCGGCCAGCCTTATTAAGAATAAATATATTTAAATATGCTATACAAGTGGCTCAGCACATTTTCATTGAAACGCATGAAAATAAATCCAAGTTTGCCAAAATCTGCAACCCCCTCTCAGTTAAAAACGACCCCGCGGGGTCGGGCACCACCCGGCTCGCCGGCAAGACTTACGTAGTCTTCAAACTTGGTGATCTCCTCCTCCAGGATGTCCGTCCCAACTTTGTCGTCCTCCACGACGCACTGGATTTGGAGCTTCTTAATGCCGTAGCCTACCGGGACCAGTTTGGAGGCTCCCCACACCAACCCCTCCAGGTGGACGGACCGGACGCACTCCTCCATCTTCGCCATGTCGGTCTCATCGTCCCACTGCAAAAGCGGGAAGAAGGAACCTCAGCGTTTTCCTGGAGGGCACCATTAGCCCCGAGAGGTATCCGGTGCCTTCGAATTCCACGCTCCTCCTCTCTCAGTACGCCTCAGCTGAGCCAAGCTGCCTTTTCTTGGCTACTCTTTTCACCAGAACCAGCTGGTGAGTTAGCCAAGCTAAACCTGACTCCGCAGCAACGCTGCGCAGCGTGTGGTTTCAATTCTCCCTCCGGGCACTGCGGGTGCAAAGAGGGGGGGGGGGATCCTTCCTGCAGCAACACAACGGCTTTGGGGCGCTCATTTTAAAGTGACTTTTAATCAAGGGCATCTCTCAGAGCCCAGAGTTTTTGTTCTACCATGCCCATTTGACAGAGAGTGGTTTGTTCCCATCTTTAGGGCGTTTATTATCTGTTTGTTTTGTTTTGTTTTTTTTCCTCCAAAGAAAAGGGCTAGTCCTGGTCAGGGGAACCCGCGCTTGCCACGCAGGGCAGCAGCACAAAAGCTGCAGCTCCCCGCCACATTATCCCACCTCGCTCTGACCCTTGGGGTTTGGAAATCTGCAGGTCCTCTCTTCCCCAAGTCCACCCAGATGGGCAAGGGAGATGATTTCCAGCCTCACCCAGGAGCTCCCCTACTTGTTACTCACCGGTTTCACATCCAGAAGGATAGAAGACTTGGCAATGAGACCCGGTTTCTTGGCCTTCTTCTCTGCATACTGACGCAGTCTCTCCTCCCGGACTTTGGCAGCCTCTTGGTCTTCCTCTTCATCGTCACTACCAAAAAGGTCAATGTCATCATCGTCATCTTCCTCTGCGGCAGCTGGCTCAACTTTCTTTGCCGGTGAAGCAGATGGGAGCTCCACTTTCTTGGAGGGAACGCTGAACGGTTCCACTTTCTTCATCGGGGTGACGTGCGTTCGAGTTTGCAGCGAGGAAAAAAGGGGAGAAGATTAACCCGAAGCTGAATCGGAGCAGCACTCGAGAGCAGCTCAGCAACACAAGTCTACGTTGCTCAAGACAGCCAAAGCGGCCCACGCCACGTGATTTGTCCGAAGGATCGGCCATCAAAATAAGACTTTTGATCAGCTGGACCTTTGCATCGGCCCAGCATGGCCGTACATGTATTTCTAGAGTAAAAAATACCACGTAGCCAAGAGCTGATCCTTCTCCTAAAGGCTCAGGATATCTAAACCATGACTCCGAGTGGGACAGCAGCTGGGGACGCGACCAAGCATCTTCCCCGAGCCTGAGGAGGGGCCTACACATTCTGTAGGCTTACTGCAGAGAGCACCAGCACCACTGGTAGCACTACAACAAGAATCAATCAAATCCACGCCAGGCTTTCAGCTCCCAACAGAGCTTTCTCTTAAATTAAATTAAATACATTCTCAGAGAGGATATCTGTTAAAAAAGCGTCACCGATTCTGTTCATCTGTTGTAACAAAGTGCTGTTTTACCTGGTTGCCTCCACGGAACTCACAGGACCGTGGGCTAAATGATAATCAAGTATATATTAACTCTAAACTTCCACAGATCCCCACCAGAGCTCTCCCTAGCTGAAATCTCACCCGTAGCCTCCTTGCTGGTCTTAGGGCAGAACACTCCCCTTCACACGTACAATTTGGGAAAGATAAGGCAGCTGCCAAAACTGCTGGCAAACCTGCAGCGAACTCATCCTAACTACGAGCATCTCTCAAACAGCCACCAGACCTTGGAAATGCCCCGGCACTTTGTGACGTGAAGCGTTCAGGAGGGGCACTTTGCCAAGGCTCACCTGGGTTGGAGGAACCGGTGAGGGCTGGTGGGAGGTAGATGACTTTTCCAGAGCGTTCAGGCGGCTTTCTAACTTGAAGATGGCCATCTGAAGGTCTGCAACAACTGCAAGAAGAGGGGGTTGGGGGGAAAAAAAAAAAAAAAAAAAATAAAAAGGAACTTTATCTTGTAGGCTCTGCATCAGCTCTCAAGTCAGGGCAAATTTGCTTCTGCTCAAAGGGGGGATTTAAAAACCACCAGTTGCCTCAGTCAGAGGGAAGCCTGCAAAGCTCTGATCGAGACGCTGGCACACGCTCACCTGGCAAGAGACAAACTCAGTAAGGGATACACCCCACAGGAGCAGGACCCCGTCCAATTTTGCTTTCATGCTCGAAGATTCTCCTACTTACCACTGCGAAGGTTTTGATTTTCTACCTCCAGGTGAGAAATTCTGGAAAGGAGTTCATTCTGGTCACCGGCAGACGCGGAAGAGGTTGTGCTTGCACTCTGCAACAAGGAAAAATGAGCTGAAACAGATCTGCTCACCTACTCCCAAAGCCCAGTGGTTCAGTGAAGCAAAGCAGAGTTATGCCTTCAGGGAAGAAGAAAATACGAGAGCTAATCTAAGAACAAAGACATTTTCTCTAAAGGCTTTATAAAAAGACTATACTAGCTCTATAGAATGAAGCATGAAACCTCTATCTCAAGAAATTTCAGCTGGCACTGATGAGCAAAGGATAAAGTCATCCTTTACGGACTCAGATCACAGACTGCCACTAAACACACGTAAAGTTTGGAAGTTCCACACCAAGCCCCTTCAACGGGGCAGCTGGTCTCCTCTTACAAACCGAGGCACAGAGCTGAGAAGCGACCCCCCTAATGTCACACAGCGAGTCGCTGTGGAAGCTGGAAAGAGATCCCGGCATTTCTGTACTCCCACCTTCCCCAGTCCAGCCTTTAATTCTTCTCAAAACAATTTAATCCTACTTTAACACATCCTGAGGGGGCAATTGTTCCAATCAGGCTTCAAAAGTATTTAACAAAATGCTTTCCCTTTCTTTTTTTTTTTTTTTAGGAAGGCCTTATCTATAAATTCAAATCAGCAAAGGGAAAGAAAATAACAGGCCCTTGTGCTTTAAGTGTCATTTATAACTGAACATAACAATAGAGGAAATCATTTATACTCTTTCAAGGGCACCCTGTGTAGAATTATAACGTGGCTCTCGGTCGCAGTTGACACGATTCTGAGATCTCAGCACTGAAGACGAAGAAAGGGAAAAATGGGGGGTTAAGATGAAGAGAGAGGAACGTGGGGCGCACAGAAAGCAGATCTCAGGGTGCCCGGCCCTGGGAGACACGGAACAGTGTGAGCTGCTCCTAGCAGGAAGGTCAGCGAGACCCATCTCCACCCACCCAAAAAGAGGCAGGGGCCAGAGGTCAAAAAGCACCAGGAACTCAGTCCCCGCCGCAGCCTCAGGAACACGAGGGCAGATCTGCAGTCCCCGGACACCAAGCTGAGACTGTTAGAAGCTCCTGATATCCAGGGTGAGCTACAACCATGTGCCAAAGGACACGTGCTTCTCGCGGGAAGGAAGGAGAGCTCGGTTCATCTCTCCGTGGCAGGGCTGCCCGTGCCCTACAACGCCCTCTCAAATCACCCGACCGGCTCCATCGGTGCGCAGGTGACTTACAGTTGAGCGGCCCGACTGCCTCTTGTGACGGGCAGGAGCTTCTTTACTACGTGGAACTGTCTTCTGCTGCAAAGGGCAAAAGGTTTGGGGGATGTTTGGTTCAACGCGGAAGATAGAAAAGGATTTCGCTCATGCTGGAAGAGGCAAGTTCAAGTGCAGGAAGCAGATCCACATGCAAGACACAATCGTCAAGCGACGAGATACAGCCTCACACCAACTACACGCTGAACAAAAGCCTGCACAGAACCATTTATCCAGGAACTCTGCCATCGTCATTTTAAACACCTCGGCGCTCGCAGAAAGGTCACGCAGCTGGGCGGCAGGATTAGATTGAGATGGTGAGAGCCCGGGCTGGGTCATCTCCTCATCTGTAAAATCAGAGGTGCGGCAGCTGCACGCGTCGCTGCAGCCTCCGCCAGCTCTCCTGACGTTAGATCAAAATCTAATCGAGATGCAGAAACACGTGCAAAGTCACCAAGGCTCTTAAATCCGCGATTACCACTAATGCATCTCTCCCAGAGAGGAGCAAAGCAACACACCACCAGGCTGCACTAAGAATCTGATGAGACCCCTGCGTGGGCTTCCAGCCTCACGTGCACCACCGAGAGCAGAGGCTGCTCACCACCACACCGGGCTAGCCCTTAGCTTTATGCACCAAGGAGAAAAATTGAAGCTCAGATACTCAGACCTCTTCCTGCTCTAGTTATACCTGCAGGGCCAAGGTCTAAGATAATCCAGTGAAAAGTGAATTCTGGCAGTAGTCACATCCATCCCTACCCCGTGAAAAAGCACTTCTTTGATTCATGACCAAGCACAGGAGCAAAGAGATATGCAGCTATTTTTTTTCTTATTTTTTTTTTTTCCAAAAGCAGCCTGCTGGTTCAGCTAAGCAGCAAGCACCACAGATTTTTTTTTTTTTTTTTTTGGGCAGGTTGAAGCCCCGCTCACGTTTTCCCAAGCCAAATGCTGAAGCCTTTGAGCAGGCTCTGCGCTTGCCCCGGGCTATCCTGCGCACGTTCAAGACGCCGTAAGATGGTTACGCCTAATTGGTGCTGCGGGACGGCTCGCTTTTAAACCCTGGCTTTCAGCTTTCGTGGGAGCATTTGCCACAGAACCCAGCTGTGCCTCCACATTTCCCTGTTTGCAATAACCCCACAAAAATGAGAAACCTGAATTGAGGCCGTACCATCTACCTTTACACTTATCTGCTGCCGTCCTGGAGCCTCACGCCGAACAGGTCAGCCCTGCTCTTCCCTGTAGTCCCGCAGGAAAAACATCTGCAGCTTGCCAGGAGGCCCCCAGCTCCAGACAAACTCGCCAGCCTTGCGTGGTTACGTCATTTAGGGGAAGAGTTTGAGAAAAATCACAGCCATTTTCCTCAGAAAGGCTGTAGCTGTGGCTTGCAAGAGCAAGGCGAGAGGACTTTGGAACACCCTGCTCTGCCTGAAGCTGTTCTCAACGCAGGAGAGCGCGGAAGAAAATGACATTTTGTTACTTCAACAGACCTTCTGAGTAGTATAAAATACTAGAATACAAAGCGAGCTGTTTATTGCTGTCAAGAGCTGTTTGTAAAGCTTTGGGTAGCAACCAGGTAACTCTGTAGAGCAAGGCAGAGCTCTACAATGCACAAATTCCTCCCCTTTCCACACTTCCTTTGCCAGCTTACGTTGAGCCTGCACGTGAGACGACATTAAGGTTGCAAACACAGCTAATGAAGCCCAGGAGAGTCAGCATTTTCAGTGGGGCACTGAAGTATGCACGCCTGCCCATCAGTATGCAGGAAATACAGGTAGCACAGGCACTCCAGGAGCTGCAGCACAGATATCTGGGTGGCTCCGTGGGGAGTCATCTCACCTCCAGGATTTCTCAGCTGCGAGTTGCTAATGAGGTCTCTGCAGAAATGGCAAGATCAGTTAACAACCGGGATGCACCTACAGGTTAAACGCCCACAAAATTTGTGTGAATAGTTCAGTGTTGTGCATCTGGAGGAACAGATTCAGCGTATTACATGCGCTAGCCCTGGATTCACTTGCTCCTCCGTGCTGTATTTCTCACAACTGTTTAAAAGGGAGGTTTGCAACACGGTGGAGGCTCATAGTGGTCCAAGATGTGGCACAGCAGAGGGACAAGAAGATGCTCGGAGGGCTGAAGCAGCTCCCCTGGGAGGCCAGGCTGAGAGAGTTGTTGGGGTTCAGCCTGGAGAAGAGAAGGCTCCGGGGAGCCCTTCGAGCGGCCTCCCAGGGCTTAAAGGGGGGGACAGGGAAGATGGGGAGAGACTTTTTACAAAGTCCTGTAGTGACAGGATGAGGGGCAACGGTTCTAAACTGAAAGAAGTTAGGTTTAGATTGGACATAAGAAGAAATTCTTAATGATGAGGGTGGTGAGACACTGGCCCAGGGTGCCCAGAGAATCTGTGGCTGCCCCCTCCCTGGAAGGGTTCAAGGCCAGGTTGGACGGGGCTGGGAGCCCCCTGGGCTGGGACCAGATGATCTTTAAGGCCCCTTCCAACCCAAACCAGTCTGTGATTTAAATCAACACCCTGTGGAATTCAGACATGACTTGTTAATCCTGGGCAACCCCAGGGCAGGGTGATTCCGAGCACAGACACCTCTTGCTGGCAAGAGGGTTGCCATCCCCAAGGTCAAGCAAACAAGAGATTCAAGTTCTTCATGAACTGGGCGAGCCTGGAAACCTGTGACCTGTGTAAAGCACGGTGTAAGAGGCACGATGCTGAACCAACTTCCCAATTCTGGAAGGTGGTCAAGCCACACTATCAGAAATTGTGGAAGAGTTGCCTTTGTGAGACCTGAGGTGAGGATTCTTCAAGCTTTTAGAGATGCGGTCACCAACCTCAGCTACACACTACCTAGAGTGTGTTTTTTCCTCCACACAACCATGCACTATTTCCTCTTCATATTCAACTATGCCAAGAGGCAGCTCGACACAAGTGTTTGTGAATTTTATCAAGGACAGTAATTCAAAATCCCAAAGGTGGGGAGTTCCAAAGCATCACTGCAGTCACCTCCTGCACGGTGCCACGGATGGAGCTCTTAAAATCTTTGGTTTTTTCTAAGCTTACGCCACAGTTGTGCTGAACCCACACCAGCGACACACTGACCAACGCTGCCATGTCTTCAAAATATTTTGCATAGCAGAAGTGTTCTCCAAGCCTGGAACCACACCAAGGACTGCATATAAATTCAATCATCCAAGCAAATTAAAACCTTGGGAATTCTTGCTTATAAAAGGGTAGAAAACAGAATCTAGCCTCAGCCTCAAGGGGCTATCAACAGCTGGCCCTCTCTCAAGTTTGACTCTCTTAAAACATACTCTAAATATCAGAGACAAGAATACTGATAACAAAGGAGAAGTTGGCAAAGGTTACGTTTCTACATATCAGCTCAAAGAAATGTGTCTGGACAACTACAGCTAAGAGCTCTTGTCTTGGTATGTCAGGCCTAACTACCGGCTGTGGCTGGAAAGCTGGCACTTCCCTCACGACAAGTAGTAGTATCTGGAGGTACCAGCCCTTTTCTCTTCATTTGAATCAACAGCACGCAGATTTTACAAGCTCTGTTACAGACGTGGTGTGTAGGTTTTCCAGTCCAGAGCTCACAAGGCACTCACAGCTTCATCCAAAAAAAAAAAAAAAACCAAAAAACCGATTTTGTGCACACAGAGATACAACACCCTTCCCCTTAGGTCAGTCTAACTGAGCTCTGGAAACATGGAAAGTTTAGCCATGGTCAGATATACAAAACTGAACTGTGGCGAGATGATGTTGAAGACCTAAAAGAGGCTTTCCCCCACACCTAA